TTTCTACAGACCTTTTCTCTGTGGAGTCAGAGTGATGATTCAGATGAATGAGGAAGGGAGAGAGGGAGAGAAACAGATTAAGACAAGTCTAAGACTCTTTTGCTGCCCCTCGCCTTGAGCCTTTCAGCAGGCTCTCACCTCCCGTGATTCTGATTCATGACTTGACATCAAAAGTGATGCAGAAACATACACGCACATCCATCACCTCCTGTGCTCTGCTACCCTCCGTAGCCATAAGCTGATTACCCTGCAAATTGAAAGCTCATATGCCAATGGTGAATGATATGCTTGTATGCATTTGTGGATGTGCACATAGCAGCACAAACATACTCACATGCAAGAAAATATTCTACTGACAGAGACACCAAAAAGTCTTCAAACTTCACTTACACACACGCACACGCACACATCTTGTTAAACCGTTGATGAAAGACATTAAATCAAAAGCTTTGCATGACTCTTGCCTCTTTTCACAAGTCTCTTTTTCCTCTTTTCAGTCTGTGTCTGTCTCTGCCTTCTTCCCTCATTCCGTCTATCATGATTATTGCAGTTGCCAACTCTGAGATGGTGATATAAAGTCCGGAGAAAAATATGATGAGTCCATAATAAGATAACACTCTATAACAACGTTATAGCCATTCTTAAGGATCTACCAAGCAATTTCACAGGTTGGTGGCCTCAAATGGTAGCAGACAGATGAATGCTGAGGACTCAGTAGCCTGGAATTATGCAGTACAATGTCAATAACCTCTTCTGTGTGGGAGAATTTCTTTGTGATGGATTTGTGCATGACCAATAATAGAGGCATCTCTCATACACATGAGGGGAAACTCAGTGTGTACATTTCCCTGATTAGAAAGATTTAAACAAATCTATTGCCCAAGATTCTGAGTGTATTTTGAAAATGTAATGATATCAAATACTGAAGCAATAAATAACAGCAATTCTAGCATCCTGTATGATTTTTTTCCCAGTGAGAATAAACTTAGATTTGTGCGCTAAAAGCTCGTCCATGAGTGACCAAGCTTTGTATGAGTGCATCTGTATGAGAACAAAATATTATCAGCGAGTTAAAGATGAGTCAAAATATCTAAAAGGACGCTTCACGTTTTCGGTGGTAATCACCACCAGTCACTTAAAATTCACTAAATTTAACTGATTACACACTCGGGGGCACTACAGGAACATCTCATTGTAAAACGCTCAGCCCTGACATTTGGGACTTTCTGTCAAAGCTTTCAAGATCAAGGTCAGTGTGTTACATTATGTAGAAATCAAAGTACTTCAGTGTGGTATGCCCAGTTTTATGTTATTACTTTTTATAGCCCCACAGCTACTTGTATGACTATAACATATTGGTACCTTTGGATACAGCTGATATTTTATAGCGCTTACTAACAACTGTGAGATATGGCTAAAATTAGCACCTTGATGGATCCCTGCTTGTGGGGTATGGCTATGGTTACACTTAATACTCTCATTACCAGCCACCTTTGACTTTGAACGTGGCTCTACTCTTTCTAAATAACACTCATTGGGTTTGGAGTGACTGCACCTCATAAAACAATGGCTTTACAATAAGCCTTAGACTATGTTAATATAATAATAATATCCTCCAAAATTTAAAGAGCATGATGCCACATAGACCTACATCCATGATAGATTTTTATGATAATTAGTTTGTGTTGATCGTCTTACATGCTTCTAGTCAGTTCATTTACTTCTCTCTCCTCCATTCAGCTCGCTACATCTATCTGTTTGAGTTATCAGCCGAGGCCGCTAATGACTGCCAGGCTGTCTGCTGTGATAATGGGCTAACAATATGAGATAATGATCTAACAGTGGGCTGTTACACAACTCGGCTGTTAGTGTCTGTAACATACTTGGTGCAGTGTAGTGTATCAGCATGTGTGCAGCAGAAAAATTAAAGGGCAAAAATAAAAGGGCAAGCAGATGTTACAATGGAATTAAGGGCTCAGCCCAGCTTTCCTAAACATAGTCACAACAATCACTTACTTATATTCCTGTTGTGGAAACAAAACATTAGTTGAATTCAAGTCCTAGGATGAAGGCTACTCAGCCTAGCCCCTTATCTTTTATCCCCGTATGAAGTTAGAGACACACTCACCACCCACTCTGCACATTTTCAGAACATTATGATGTGACTGTGTGAACAAGCAGAGGAGAGTGTAAAATGCCAGTCAGTCAGACACGGTCAGTTGTGCCAAGGTGATCTAAACCAGTCTTTCCTTCTTACTCTAAGCCAATATGATATTCAAAGAACCTCTACACAGAGTAATGGTGCTGACCTTTGCTAGATCAGGGACTCCCATAATGAGTCACATTTTAAACACTGCAGGTATTATAAGTCTGTCTCTGTTCTGTTCAAGCAGTAACCCTGATGGGTATGACCTCAGGTGAACCCCTGGAGAATCATAGTACACAAATGAAATGAAAGTGCCAGTTCATTGTTTACCACAGTAATGATTTATGGAGTAGTGAAGGATTTTGAATGCCTGCACATGTTAGCGCTTTGCTATTTCTTACACAGCTCTACATACCTTATCTTTTCTAATTTCTTTTTAATCTATGTGCACCACGTCACCTCATCTATATTATACATTTTTCTGATTCCTTGTTTTTTTTGTTACAGTTTTTTGCTGTCACCCCATTAATGCTCTGTTTTCCCACCACAGTCGGCGATGCCACTCTTGAAATCAACTTTTATCCACTTGTCTTTGGCATGTACACAAATTCCAAAGACTAAAAGAACAATGCAGCACTGTATGACAAGAAGAAGAGTGACACATAACTGAGCTCTGTCGCCATTGTGAGTAGGAGTAGGATTATGTGAGTAGGATCACCTGGTTATATTAACATTACAGTTACCTTATTATGAATCTAATTTTGTACATCATTAACACCTTCCCTTATAACATAAATCCTAGATCAATTTGGGATGTGGGAGGTTTAGTACTGTGTGAAAACCAATCAGAGGTATGATGTTTTGCCAGCATTCCAGTCTTTGTGGAAAGGCTTTAGCATCAAAAGTATCAGATGCACAGCAAAGCCACTGTGATTTGAACTCAATTTAAAGAGCCAAGTAAATGTTTTATGTCTGTTCAGGATTTTATCCTGTGGGTAAGCAATGGTAATCCCTACATCAGAGCAATAAAATGCTAAGTCATTTTGTTGCTATACATTGCCTTCCTGGCTCTACAATAAAATAATCAAACCATATTAATGCATTTGTATGTTTCAACAATATAAATACTCGACTGATGTCAAGGACAGCAAGCTAACATTTAATATGCCTGTCAGATTCCATCCGACTCATTAGCTGTTTTGCACATTATCTCCTTTCTGTCAGTCCTGTTATTCGCCCATGTAATCTAATGAAGCAATGATACCGTGAAGTATTAGATGATAAAAATAATTTTCTAAACCAAGCAGCAAGGACTTCACTATGCAAGTGGTGCACCAGCAGCTGAAAACCCAGGCAGAAAGCACACTCTAAGGATTACAGGGGAGGCCAATCAATGCAGAATATCAGTGCTTTGTTATGGTGCTTTACTGAAAATCTGTACCATATGAAAATCTCTCTGGATCTCAAGGCAGCACATAATCCACGACTGTTCCTGTGCACTGTTCTACAAATCTGAGTGCTCTGAATACAAAGGTGTTTCACTGGACTGAAGACAAGCCTGTCTTTTTTCAGAGTGGAGTGAGCTGACAGGAGCACAGTATATGACTGGCAGCAGTACAAAGAAGAGAAAGAAAGTTGAAGCCCACCGGGGGGGAGGCACTGCATGCATGCCTGGTTGTGTGTGTGTGTGTGTTGTTGGCTTTCCTGATTTCTCAGTTCATCCATGTGTTCATATTCACTATTCACACACAGGCCCACACAGCTAGCTTATGGCAGCTTTGTGTTGAATCATGCCTGGGGCAAGAATCACAGAGTTTGTAAATCAGCACAGATGAACCATATGTTTCACTGCATCCTCTACTGCTATCTAACACAATGCTGAGGTTTCTCAGATGTCAGTGATCACCATATCATTTTATGACAGGAAAACAACAAAACAGCCTCGATGCAACAATCAGGATCACATCAGGAGTCATGTAATTGACTTTATGAACCATTAAATCTATAACACTTGGCATTTACCATACTGTATGTGGCTGACAAGCATGTGGATATCCAATAGAGAACTGGATTATGCATTAAGACGTTTCTATGGTTTGTACTACAATGAATCTGGGTCATCCTCAGAATCCACTGTACTGTAAGTAAGAAATCAGCTTAAGATAAGACGTAAACAGTAGACTACACGGCCAAGGGATGGAAAATGGAAATTAGCTTTAAGACACCTCTGGTCCAGTACATCAAATGGCAACATTTATGTTTAAAAATGTACATAATCTCTCACAAATGAAAGTTTAAAATAAAATAAAAGTGAATTAAACCACTTTATGTCCTGTTAATGGATCTAAATAATATATAACAATCTTTTCATGAACTTTCTTTTAATCACTTGAAGCAACATTTTATTTTATAAATTAGAATGTATGTCCCGAGGAATCTCTGTAGATCCTCTGAGAGGACAGATGTTTTTTGTTGTTTATTAACGGTCTCTCTAATCAGCTTGCCACTTTTACAAAATGCCTTTCCTTTGGGCCACAATTGATCCGAGTGCAAAAGATTTCCAGCTGGAGAAAAAGTCCTCTAATCTAATCTATCAAAGGATGCACAGACAAATGGAAAATGGTGGGATTTCTGACTTACAGCAAAATGCATTGTGCTGATGTGATGTTTAGGAGTGAGCCTGACTGCACAGAAAGAACTGCATTAGGCTCAGATGAACTGATCTGAAAGCTCAAACAGAGATTCAACTAAAGAAACTGTCAAGTCAACTGGATGATTCTTCTTCATCTGTTTCCTGTTGATGTGTATTTTCACTATATCCTTCCATTATAGATAATAGTGTAGCCTACTGTACCTCCAGGATAGATGCCTCTTATTCCATTTGTTCTGAGGAGTGAGGCTTCGTTTCCTGCGGCTCATTGTGGCCTCGGTCTCAGACACATCTGGCAGAGAACATCTGGGTGTTTTCATTAGACCCAGTGTGGCTTGGTCTAAAGAGGAGAGGAGAAAAGAAGAGGGGCTGATGATGTCAGAAAGGTTCTGATTCAACTCTGTGGAAGGTTATAGTTGGTAGTTTTCATGAGTGCGTTGTGTTATTAGTTCTTTCCATACATTTTCCTCCATCCATCCAAAGAACCAACACGCTCCCCTCAAACAAATACAGTCACATACCGAAGACTCCGGTTTCCTTCAGCCCTCCAAACTTCTGCATGGCTTTGATGGCCTTGGTCAAAGCCTCCTTGGTCTGAAGCTGACCAGTCACTGGGTCAGGGGGTGGGAGGTAGCCAAACTTGCTCAACCAGTCCTGGAGGGGAAACAGCAAAGCACAGAGTTCAAGACGCATGCCAGGTATTCAGAGGCCCCCCAAGTACCATGGAGCTGCTGAGAGGGTCTGACACCTGTCCATGATTGCTGAGTGTCTATGTACATTCAAGTTTCATGTTTCCTATGGTTAGTTACGGTAGCCAAGGCGTTATTTCATAGTCTTTGCATGTGTGAGTGTTTACTCCTCTGTGTGTATACTACATGGTTAAAGAGTTAATCATAAATAACCTCTGGTAAGAAGCAAATGTACCCTTTCTCAGTCATTACAATCATTCATATACACATCCTAATGCAGTGTGATTAAATGTTTGGAAACCAGTGCATCATTTCCATACTAAGCAGAGGAGTTTTTAAGTTCTTCTCTTTAAGGTGTGGAAATGATGGATTGCACCTGTGCTGTCGACAAAACTGCAACTCCCTGTTTTTCCACACACTGCTCACAAACTTGGAGCTGGCAATGAATTCAAACCCTGACATTGGAGCTCACAAGCTGTAAAACCTAACAACTCAGTAACATGCTACTAAACCGCTAAATTATGTATATACAGGTATGTGACAGTGTTTAGGTGAAATTGGTTGCACTGTTAAAAGGCTTCACGCAAGTTGTCTGAGTTCAAACAAAGAAATAAATCAAAGATTGCTGGATAAGGTAAACAATAAATTCAAACGCACTTACTGCAAAAGAGCAACATTTCACTCTCAGTAGACTGACAGCTCAAAGACAAATTGGCAATTGCAAGAACAAAGGAGGGGAAAACAGAAGGTTAAACAGTTTACAGGTATCTCAAATTTAATAAGCCAACATAAGATGAGGCTTTACTCCTGGAGTCTGCACACTTGAAATAAGGGATAAGAGAAATAACAGAAATAAATGAGTGCATTGAGGGGGGGAAAACAGACTCTGGCCTGAACACATTCAGTTTCTTCAAATCACTGATTAACAACAACAGGACAGACACAAATGGCTGACTTCTTTAATCACTCATTAACATAAACAGTTAAGCACAGGCACAAGAATATACACAAATACTGTACATACACACACAGAATCAACAAAAGATGATGTCTGATGCCTGTGTATAACTGCTCTGCATCTCAAATGGGGTGTTTTTAAAGCTTCTAATACTACAGTGGTCATTTGCAGCAGTGTTTTGATTGCTGTGCTGGGTTCTGCATAAACTAAGAGTGTGGACTACTTCACTTGTGCTGACATAGTAAAGCAAAGCTAAAGAACATTTTGTAGTTCAACCACTATTTTTAAGCAACAAGAAAACACTATGTAAAGTTCTTTTTATCTTTCTGTAATTTAATGCCATTTATTCAGGAAGAACAGAGTGTGTAAAGAAAAAGGAGAGCAGATGAACAAAGTTTCCAGTCAAAAACCTAATCAAGACCTTAAGGTCATCTAAAAAATATTATGAAGAACTTGAAATGTCTTCTTTGTTTTATTTAAAGTCTTTTACTTCCTTTAATGGGGAGATAGGTCTGAAGAATAATGCTTCAAACTGGTTGAGAGAAAACATTTTGGACAATATTTTTACAAATGCAAGTGCAGGTGACTAGTGACCCGTCAGAACCAGGATCCTAAGTCCAGCACTCCGAATACCAGCTTGCTGAGACAAGGAGGGGGAGGAGGGGTTGCTGGACCCTCAGCTGTATAGGAGAGAGTGAAATCTGAAGAAATACGCAGGTGTATTGATATCTGCGATGGCAGATAAGTGTCAAGTCTACAATACCAAGCATGACACATGTACTGAACGAGGCAAGTGATTTGTCTCATAAGTTAAAAGCTTTTGACGAATTGGATTTGGAGCTGAACACATCTGGAAA